TCAGCGGGGTCACTTGACCCACACTGCCCCACTTTAGATCTGCCCGCCTCTTTTCAGATCACGTATCTCACTAGATAAAAAACACGTTAAAAACTTTGGAAAGAGAGCTTCTGTCGGTCTAGATACCCGTAGCCTTGAAACTTCTAAACGCTCCACGTAGAATATCTATATAAGACTGAAAAGGTCCCTCGTGTGCTTCTCGGTAGCTGGATCTTTTGAAAGAGAGCAGCTTGGGGTGAAAAAAAGATTATGATATGTTGAATGGTTAGCTAAAAAATGAATGATTTGCATTCAATAATGCATACCTTCGTGGTTCTGGGTGAAGTGGTCCCATATGCTCGGTCCTCTCCCATCTTGATCCCATGCTCCTTCAATCTATTGAACATAAATATTATTAGTTTGAGTGCAAAATTTATATATACTCTTGGTCGTTGCTGTCTGATGCATAAAAGGAAATTAACACTCAATGTAAAGGGGCATCTACTAGAGTTCTAATGCACTGGAGCCGTGGAAGGGGCCGGTAAGAATAACTAAGTAGAGAGAGAGAGAGGGAGAGAGAGAGAGAGAGAGATTGTGAGACCTGGTATGCTGCAGTAGCAGCCCCAAAGAGGAACTGAGGAGGTGGAGGGAAGTCGGACCTCTTTACTTCGTCGGACTTAATGATCACAGGCTGAGGCTTAACGCTAGCCGTAGTACCAGACCTAAGTTCATCTCCTCCCTTAGCCGAGCATTGCGCTCGGAAAAGAGGAAGGGACCTCCTCTTGATGTGAAGAGGGATTCTGGTAGTAGCTCTCGATGAGAGAGACGGCAAGTATGGTTTGCTAAGGAAAGAGTTATGGTTTTGTGCGTTCAAGGTAAGTGGGGAGAGTAGTGCCATGCTAATAGCTAATTAGAATTTTCAGATTTGCTTGTAATAGTTATGTTAAACAGTTGACGCCTTTATAGAGATGATGATGAGAGAAGATAATGGAGCGTTCAAGTAAAATATATATCACACGCCAAGCGTGGCAACTAAACAACTAATCATCACGTTCCCAGAGTGGCAATAAAAAGAAGAAAGTCTCCGATTGGTTTT